TATAGTTCTTCATGAGGTGCACTTTATAGAACCTAAAGGGCAGAGAGACTACTACTCTCGGGAAGCACCATGGCAGCTTCCTTTAACAACTGATCACAACAGGAAGTAGGCCCAAGACAGCCACGGAGCCTCTGAAACAGGTCAGGTATCTATGGATATCTGTATTTGTGGGCCTGTGTAGCCTGGAAGTCCCAGAATTCTTCTTGGGGAGTTCTGGGAGTTGGGAGTCCAAAAAATCTGAATGGCACATCCTTGTTGTAACACCTACATGTGGTATTTGGATGAACACTGAGCCACTCAATCTGTCCTCATTTTGTGCATGACTCTGCATGCTCAAATTACCCAGAAGCCGAGAAAGATATAGAGATAATTTATATAACTCCCAGACTCTCCCAACCAGTATGGCCAGAATCATTCCAAGCTTTGAACTTGACAAAATTCTTTATATTTTTAAAACAATTAGTACACCGACAATTCCTTTCAAATAGAATTTGAATGTCTTTTCATTTTACTCAACATTACAGTTTTCAGATTCAGAGATATATTTTCAGATTTTTAGTTTGGCAAGTTAGCACTGTCTAAAAGCAGTATCTGCTTGGTCATGCACACTTCCTTAAAAAAAAAAAAAAGGCAACATTTCCCTTTGTATTCTCATGTCATTCCCTCTAATCAGGAGGAGAGTTACAGATATACTACCTGTAGGCAAAGGCAGCTTTTAGACACAGGAGGCAGCATCTCACCCCTCAAATTTGGGGGGACACTTCCATTCTGATCAAATACCTATAAGAGTCAGTCTCTGTATTTATGAGAAAAACAAAAACAGTGATAACAAGTAATTATACCAAAAAAAGAAAAAAAGAAAAAAGGAAAAAGTCTAGAATTACAACTGAACTATTCCAGACCTGTTTTTTCATTACTGGACAGGGGGAAGAATTAATAACTCTGCATCTTTGGTAGCTGGCTGTGGAGCTAGAGGTTGGGGGTTCAATTCCCTACTGTGCCTCCCTGACACGGGCTGGACTTGATGATCCATAGGGTCCCTTCCAGCTCTGTTGTTCTAAAATTTTTATTATATAAAGGGGGGGGGGGACAGAGAGTACTGTACTTTAGCTGTTTCTCTCTGTATTATACCACCAGAGGGAGCACACTCTTTTATTCTGAATAACAGCTGAAAAGCATATGGCTATACGTTTGGATTTATATGGATCAAATATCAATGCCAGCAAGTGAGTTTTGTGGCACCTTAAAGAGTAAGAAATTGCTTATGGTATTTTTTTTAGCCTTTAAAATGCAACAAGACTCTGTTTTCTCCACTGCAACTGTCTAAGATCAGAAAATGCCCACGTCCGAAAGCATTCAAAAGATATTTGAAGCAATGCCCTACAAGGAGTGGCTTAGGGAGTTGGGAATGTTTAGCCTTACAAAAAGGAGATTGAGAGGGGACATGATAGCCAGGTTTAAATATCTGAAATGATGTCATGTTTAAGGGGGGACAGGTTTGTTTTCCAGGGCTCCAGAGACTAGGACATGGAGCAATGGTTTCAAACTACAGGAAAAGAGATTCCATCTGAACATTAGGAAGAACTTCCTGATGGTCAGAGCTGTCTGACAGTGGAATAGACTGCCTCAAAGGGTGGTGGAGTCTTCTTCTTTGGAGGTTTTTAAGCAGAGGCTGGGTGGCCATCTGTTGGGAGTACTTTGATGGATGTTCCCGCAAGGCAGGGGGTTGGATTGGATGGCCTCAGTGGTCTCTTCTAACTTTATGACTCTATTAATTTTAGGTCTCCACAAACAGAACAGTTGTTTCCTTTCCTGTGAATAAACCAGCACTTAATCTGTAAGATAGTCTTCCTTCACCAGCTAATGAGGCCACAGCCTACAAACCCCCGCCACACATTAGTCTTACATTTATTTTGAAAGTCAATATATATTTGTACAACTTTACATTCAGGAGCAGAACAATTTGTTTGAGAGCAGCAGTGATTCCATATAGCAGAGGGGCTTACTTGCCAGTGTGGATGTGATCCAAGCACTCATCCAAGCACTTGGGACAAACAAAATTGCTTAGCTTGTCTGAAACACTTATTTGTACACGTCTTTCTCAACTGCAATGTCATCTTTTGCAGACACATTAGTTTCATGGCTTTGACATCATGGATTCCAAGTACAATCTTTCATAACCATGACAATCTCCACTTGGTTCAGGCGGTCTAAACACAGGTCTTTTATGAGATGAGAATTTACTTTTCTGGATCCCCCTTAATAGTTTCAAGATAGAAGTAGTCCATTCTTGGTTGCCATCCAAGGTCAGAGGAGGCAGTCAGTTGATCAGCAGCTTACCTGCAGGAAGATGCCGGAGGCTTGTGCCATAAACCTGACAGGCCCTGGAAGGAATGGGGAGGAGACATCTGGAGTAGGGTGTCTAGCTATGCTGACAGACAGTCAAGGGTGGTTGAGGTGTGTGAGTGGGACATGAAGATGGACAGAAGCAAAAGAGAACAAGAGGACCACAGTTGCCAGGATGATCATGTGTATGCAAGAGCTCCCGCAACTCATAAAAACAAATGATCACCCTACTGGCTGCTGGATTCTGGGAGCTGTAGCCAAAAAAAGGAAATATTCTTATCTTTATTCTGTTCCCACAGTAGCCTATGAGGAGCCGACAGGAAGCTGCCAGCAGGATTCTGGCATGACATGATCAATTGGCTAAATAAATAAATAAATAAATAAAAAGTAATAAAATAGTTCTAAGTGAAACACTACTATTACCACTATTTACTGGAGGAAATGAAAAATTATCAAATAAAGAATAGTTGGCAACTCTTATAAGGGAAACTTGGAGTAGGAAATGAAAAATTATCAAATAAAGAATGGTTGGCAATTCTTATAAGGGAAACATGGAATGAAATTGCCCAGTGCTGGAAAGATGCTCAGGACCTCATTTTTGCAAAGATATATGAATAAAATACGGACAGTGGCACTGATGGAGAAACTGACTAATTGAGTCCGATTATACAGAAGGAAGACTAAACAAGTTAATTTTTGAAGACATGGCACCCTCTGTTGAAATCCGATATTGAGTGAAAAAATAGAGTAAACCAAATGGACAATGGGTTGGACTGTTGGTTATTCTAACTGGCATCAGTTAGACATAAAAATGCAGTAATGAGACATAGAAGGGATTACATGAAAAGATAAAGAGATAATGTAAACATTGTGTGTATAGGAAGGTATAAGAGTTTATGGATAAGAAATTTACTATTATTGTAGTGCGATATCGGTCTGTTAGATGAATAAGAAATTTACTATTATTGTAGTGCAATAGATATCGGTCTGTTGTGCTATTTTGAATGGATTGATGAAAATAAAATTATTTTTTTTTAAAGGAAGATGCCAGCAGGACATAACAATAGCATCCTTTCTCTTCTGTTGTCCAGTAACTGGTACTGACAACTATCCCTCATCCCTTACTGGAGTTGTGTGAATAGTCATCAGGATGGATAGCCATAAAGATCCTGTTTCTCCATGAATGATCAAATCCCCCTTTAAAGACATCCAGATTGGTGGCAATCACTAGAACTCGTGGTAGCAACTTCCACAGTTTAACTATGAGCTGTGCAACAAAGCGTTTGCTTTGATCTCCCATCAATCAATGTATTCTATTATACTGTAATGATACTTGCAGTGATATACATATCACTGTAATTGTGTAATTATATTGTAATGATATGTATGAATTATTCTCTTGAACAGTGAAACATGAAGAGAATCAGTGTTGACAGAAAGTGGGGGGGTGGATAACAGAGATGTTAGAATGGAAACACTGAAGAATGGGAAATAAGTAATTAAAATAAAATAAAAAGCTGAAGGGATCCTCCAACAATTCCCAGGATAATTTAAGAATACCTGAAACAAAGAGCATTTTTCAATCCATAGTTCCTCTCAGGACATGCCTCACTGGCAACTTGAGGGCTGCTTAATTATTGACACCTGCAGTACCTTAGCAACTTGGGTGGGATTTCTTTGAAGCAACAAAGCAACATTACAATTGTCAGAAACTTAAGTGAGTTTTCAATTAGCCAAAGTGGTTCTTTGATACTAGAAAAAATTTTCCCTTATAAACCTCTGACAAGAAAGGTGATAGGAAAAAAAAACAAGGGAGGCAGGAGTTTTCATTTCTGTGACTTATTGCATAAAACTTGTTGGTAACAACAGACAATTTTGTAAGGTACTGTTTGCGTAGAGGCTCAGAGGCAGCCACTGCCCTCAAGCAGCAGATTTTGCAATACCAGTGTATTATTGCCATCTATCCATGGAATGGATCCGCATGAATGTTATTGTACGCTCATCTCCAAATCATTGCCCATTTCCATGTCCTCGGTTGTGGCACTAGAGTGAGAGGTTGGACTGGAAGCTTCTTTGAAGTGGCATATTTTCTCCCCACTTGTACTCTGCAAGGAGCTGTCCATGGAGTGCTCATGGTGTTGATGATGAAGATGAGGATTGCCAGGTCTAAGAGTATGAGCTGCTGTGCCAGGAAATGGCTAGGCTCCCCTGAATCTCCAGGCTGGGCAAACAAATCTGAGGAGCAGTGGTGGAAGGGAAGGAGCAAGTCTTGTTTATTGTTACGGAGCGGCCATGGTGTTTGGGTACCCAAATCCAACCCTCTACGAATGGCACCAGGGCTCACTGGCTTTCTGTGTCTGTCCAACACGACACATAACATACTTGTTTAGGAGCTCAGACAGGGAACCCACAATGCCTAGCTCACTCCCTCACACATGCATGGAGAAATATTATGTTCCCAATTCCTGTGACATCACAAGGCCCCACACCATGACTTCACAAAGACCCACCCCAGGCATTGGGCCCCAGATATAATGAGGGGATGGGAAAGATAATCCCGTGACAGCCCCTGACAAACAAGACAACACTTTAAAACCATTCTGGAAACATTCTTTTCTTTTATTTTATTTTTCTGAAAAGAGGCTAAATGGGTATCCTCAGTGCAGACAACGGCCTGGTTCAGCTCCACCAGGACACCTGCCTTCTGATCCCTCGCATCACCCTGGGGAAGAGGAAGCTTCAGGCCCTGCAAGAGAAAGAGAGAGAAAAAGAACTAAGGGGCAAGCTCATCCACTGCCAGGTATATCCAACCGACCAATGTTCTGGCAACTTCATCCCGAAGTTCTGCCTGCCAACATCCACTGGATTCCACCAGGAATATCCACTCTTCCACTCCGCTTCTGAAGCCATCCTCCGCCAGCTCCTGAATGCTTGGGTCACACTCACGCCCTGATGACATCCCCATGGAGTGCCAGCCAGCCCATTCACACACACACACACACACACACACACACACACACACACACACACACACACACACACACCAGCCACCCGCCGAGACCCCCACCCCCCACACACACACACACACACACACACACACACACACACACACACACACACACACACACACACCAGCCACCACCCCCGACACATACACACCTTCACTCCACCAGCCTTTGACACACATGCCCGGGCTTCCATCCACCGATATCCACCAAGCTTCTGCCACCTGGTTTCAGGAAGCTAACGTCCCCCGGCTTCATCCACCAACCTCTGCCGGCCTCCGCCTTGCTGCCTCAACTGGCTTCCACAGGGAGATTCCACCAGCTTTTGTCTGCCAACGTCCACTGACTTCCCCCTGGTCCATCTCCGACATCAAACAGCTTCCAGCCAGGGATTTCTGCCAGCCTCGAGCTGCTAACTCACAAGCCCACTTAGCAAGCTCATCTGCTTTCGCGAGAGAACTTGCCATGCACAGAAGGGCTGGGTCCCCTGCAGCCCCTGCTGCTCTCTCTGCTGGACTGCCCTCTGGCCACTGGCCTCCCTTCTGGTCTCCTGCCCTGCCCAACAAGCCCCTTTTATCTGCCAAGCAGAGAGGTGGGGCTCTGTGAGGTGACAAAGACCCAGGAGGATGGGGTTGGGTTCCCAAGGCGACAGCAGCAGCAGCAGCCTCAGGATTGGCTGAGTCCTGAAGATGATGTGCCTGATTTGTGCAACCAGGATGTACCCCAGCACTTCCACAACCAGCTGCAGCTAGCCATGGCAAGTTACTCATAATTTATGCAAGTGCCAATAGGATGCCAATTAAAATGTCTACAAATAGAAAGCGCTTCTTTTCTGTCTCCCTGTCAGCATTGAGCACATTTCTGCAAAAGTACTGCTGAGAGTTGGGTAGATATCTGTTTCTCTCAGGCAGAACATACAGCAGGGCCCCTGTATCTGCTGGATCAGTATCCACAGTTTCACTTATCCATAGTCTCAAATTTTTAAAACAATTAAAAGTAATAGAGTATCCACAGTTTCACTTATCCGTAGTCTCAAATTTTTAAAACAATTAAAAGGAATAGGAAAAAAAACTAGAAATAGGTATTTTCACAATATATTTCCCCAAACTGGTCACTGCAGGGAGCCTCAGTGCATACTAGGTATTGTTATTGTTGAAGGAGACATAGCATGGTCTCTGGCTCCCTTGGTTGACCACTTCTGGTGATATAGGTGAAAATACATATTCTTGGATTTTGCTCTTTTACCATGCTAGTTATTAGTATAGTGTTCTTTATTATACACAGTTTTCAGCATCTGTTGGGGGCTTGTAACCAGTCCTCCACAGATATGGGGTTCCGATTGTGCTTTCTGATTAAGAAACTGTGTTTTCTAGTTTCAACATCCCTCCCTGTGTCAACATTTGTACATACATAGTGTGTTATGCATACCCGTACAAATTGCTTCCTTACCAAAATGCTGAAATCAAGTCACAGCCAGCTGAACTCACACACCTGCTGACACAAAAAGGGGAATATACTATAAAATTATGCAGAAGATGAATAAAGTGGATAGAGGGAAGCTCTTTTCCCTCTCACACAACACCAGAACCAGGGGACATCTATTCCAATCAAGTGTTGGGAGAGTGAAAACAGACAAAAGAAAGTATTTCTTGACCCTGTGTTTTGTTAGTCTGTAGAACTCCTTGCCACAGGATGTAGTAATGGCATCTGACCTAGATGTCTTTAAAAGGGGACTGGACAGTTTCTTGGAAGAAAAGTCCATCACAGGTTACAAACCATGATGGGGATGTATAATCTCCAGGTTTAAAAGGGAGGTACCTCCAAATACCAACTGCAGGAGACAGGTATCTAGTTGTCTCGTGTGCTGCCAGAGGCATCTGGAGGGGCCACTGTGAGATACAGGGAGCTGCACCAGATGAGATCTTGGCCTGATCCAGCAGGGCTCTTCTTCTATGTTCTTATGTTTTTAAGGAGCTGAAATTCCCAAATATTCCCAATATAATATTAAAAATATAAGCGTATTCAGTGTTAACACCTCTAGAATAAAACATTAATAATGTTGTACCTCCTGTCATTGCAAAATGTGACAACTGTGATTGTGGAATTTGTAGAATCAAAGCATAAAATAATTGAGTTGGAAGGCGTGTAGAAGGCCATGGGGTCCAACCCCTTGCTCAATGCTGTAATCCAAGTTAAAGCAGATCTGACACAAGGTTGACCAATTTTCTCTTGAATGCCTCCAACATGGGTGCACTCACCACCTGCCAAGGTAACTGGTTCCAATGTCATAGTGCTCTATCACTTAAGAGGTTTTTCTCTATATTCAGCCTAAATCCGGCTTCCTGTAATTTGGGCCTTTTATCATGTGTCCTGCAGTCTGGGATAAGTGAGAACAGATCCTGCCTCTCCTCAGTACAACTGCCTTTCAAGTATTTGAGAGGTACTATCATATCTGCCCTCAGTCCCCTTTTCTCAAGGTTAAACATTTTCAGCTCTTTCAGCATTTCCTCATGGGGCTTGGTTTCCAGTCCCCTGATCATCCTCAGGTGAGTAGAAACCATCATCCTGGACATGACCACAACAGAACTCTTCCAAATGTTGAAAAAGAGAAAACACCTTGCGGCCTGGTGGGAAACGAGTGAGCAGAGTGAAAATCTGAATTAGCCCCAGGATAGACTATATTCAGCCTAAATCCGGCTTCCTGTAATTTGGGCCTTTTATTGTGTGTCTTGCAGTCTGGGATAAGTGAGAACAGATCCTACCTTAAGTCACCATAGAAAAATACCCGTTCTCCGATCCTGGATTTCGGCACTCCCCTCTGCTGGTGCAGTGGTCCAGCGGAAGGGTGCAATGGCGACTATAACTGGTCTAGCTCAATGAGGGATTGGAGGACCAGTAAGTATTTATTTGTTAATAAATATTTATTTGACCCCTCGGGGCAGGGGGAAACAAGCATTTCACCCTTGCAGTGCAGGAGCAGTTGTTTTTTCTAAGCTAAAACCTCAGCATTTGGGTTTTAAATACAGTATTGGCATTTTGAAATAAAGAAGTTGATTTTGTGTTGCAGTTTGGGCACTCGGGCTCAAAAACGTTCACCATCACTGGCATAGGCAGTTTATCCCTGATGATGCAGTATCTCCTGCTTGTGCATGTGTCCTTTGAGTCCACGTATCTCAAATGTTAAGACAACCTAAGGGCTCTTCCAGAAGGAGGAACACTTCTCCCTGAAGTACTGAATAAGACAACCTAAGGGCTCTTCCAGAAGGAACACTTCTCCCTGAAGTACTGGGTTATGCACTGATCTTAATGGAAATTTCCCTTGCATCCAGATAACATTCCTCTTATCTCACTTTGGTCTTTCGCTACCATTATTCTTCCCAAACTCCTTCATTTATTTTTTTTGTACTGCTTTGTACCAGAGTAAAGTTTAGTGCTATGGAGTTTCCAGTGGTGTCCCTAGTTGGGTCTGAAGCTTTCAGCTTCTCTGTTTGCAAAAATCTTTATAGATTAAACCATTCTTTCTAATAAGAACCTTTCCTATTAAGAATCCAGATGAGCGCTATACCACCCAATAAAATGTGATCCTGCCTTTCAGTATTCCTGGCCAACTCTTCCTTGTAAGTACAGTGGTAATTTATTTGTCTGGCGAGCCATCAGTCTCAAAAAAACAAAAAACAAAACAAAAACAAAAACCAATAATTTATTTGTCTGGCGAGCCATCAGTCTCGAAAAAAACCCCAAACCCATCTTGCGAAGCATGGCCTTAGAAGAAACCGTCTTGCAAGGCACCATAGCGATCGCAAAAATCAATCGTCTTGCGGTTTTTTGTCCCAGTGAGGCATTCGTCTTGTGGGGCAACACTGTAATCAGATGAGGAAGGAAAGGAACTGTAGAGTTTTCCAAGTTGACTGTAATCAGATGAGGAAGGAAAGGAACTCTCTGTAGAGTTTTCCAAGTTCGCTAATGATTTGACCTTTTTATTGGAGTCTCTTTTTCTGGCTGTGTATTTAAAGAAGACACATGCAACCTAGTTCTTGCTTGTCTAAGGAGTGGAGCTTGAGCACTGAGAGGATTCTTCTCTTTCTGCTCCTCCTTAGCCAAGAGAAAACAGAAACCACTCGTTTGGAATGTGGTTTCAGCAAACATTCAGCCTGTAAAGGAAGAGGGGATTGGAGGGAAGACAGAGAAAGGCAAAAGTATCCAAAGTTGTATTTAGATGAGGAAAACATTACAGAGTTTTGAATTTCTAGTAAAAGTCCTTTTGCTGTGCAGTAGAAGTACTCACAGAAAATAGCTACAAGCTCCCAAGATAGTCTATCCCTTTCTCATTAACTGACATTTAAAGTCTCAACTCACACTTTTTGTAAGGAGAACGAATAAACACATTCCTTTACTTACAGCTGTGAACAGATCAACGGCAAATAAACAGACTTCCAAGAGACTAAAGACAAGAGGTAAAAAGAACATTCAGCAGAGAGGTGAGGCTCTCTTAAATTCAGAGGTGGAAAGAAATGATTGGTTAGTGCTGGATAGATTGACAGTCAGCTCAGCCCAGAAAGGCCTCTCCCAGTCATTCAAACCACAGGCCACGTGCAAGATTGCAAATAAAACTCCAACGGAAAAGACAGCCAAGAAGCATCACCAAGCATGAGGAAAGCTGAGCAAAAAAGGCTGCTTGCTTTTGTGAAAAAGATTGAAAAATGAAGCTGTTCTAAATGTTCTCCTTTTTAGACCACTAAATATCTCTTTGATGTTTAATTTTTTAAAAAAGCCATTTACTCTCTCTTTTTACAAAAACGCACAAACTTTCTTTTTTTCTAAGAGGCAGCCCATGCTCCTCCTCCTTTTTCTTGGGTGGGGTCATGCCTGTGCATCAAAGTGGGTGAGTGGGAAACAGTGCCAAGTGCTCCAGCTGTCAAAGCTGCTAGTTATGGCTCTGTACAGCAGTTCTGATATGCTCTCTCTCTCCCCCCCCCCTTCTTCCCCTTCCTGTGTGAAGTAAGAGGACCAATATAAGCTTGCTTGGGGCTTCTATGACTGGTAGGAATCCCCCCAAATTTGCATGTGCACCTGTGCTCCTTGCATATACAAACACTTGCATGCAGATGGAAAAGAAAAACAGATATCCTTCTTCCCTATGAATATTGCAGTAAAATTGAACCCCGTTCTGGCTGGTGTATATGACACAGACGTAGCTTGCTAGAGCAGGTTTGAAACACCAAATAGCAAAGTTGTGTGCTGTGGTCTTCAGGTTTTGCAATGAATACATCTGACTTGCCAGCTGTAAAATGAATGGAAACTGTACGTGCTCAGTGCACTTCATACTCATGAAAAGGACATGTTTCAGCAGAGGGCAGCACTCCTACTAATCTTTATTTATTTATCAAATAGATGGTTCAGCTTTAGCAATTAGTCCAATTTCCTTGATTAATGTGATAAACATCTTTTATTGGTGCTCTCAGTTCATCTGAGAGGTGGGCAGGAGGAAATAACTAGTGGCCTATGAAGGGCCTTTACTGTTTCCTTACAGCTGATTAAAAAAAACATATAATGTGCTCTGTAAGTAATGTTTTATGCTGGCAACAACGTTAATCACCATTCTATGAAATGCAAACAAAAATGTGTTATTTTTGGTATACATCTACTGAAATTAAAAAGCATTTATTCACAGTCACTGAATACTTAAATCAAGCTATTTCTGCAGCACTGGCAAGCTATGTAGAAGCTTTCATATTACCCTTTTGCATGTTTTCTCAGCATAGACCCTGAATGTGGAAGTCATGAAGGGATAGAGCAAGGGGTGGGGTGGGCCTGGGGATAAATGGCCCTCTAGATGCTAGGCTGTAACTCACATTGGCACTAGCAAACATAGCCAGTGATGAGAACTGATGGAACCACAACAGCTGTCAAACAGCATCTGCGTGATGTATTCTGTATTCCTGGGATACAGAAAGAGATGTAATTATATGAAGGACTAACCCTGACATCTGAGCATTCAGCCTGGAGGCAGGCGTTGCATCACGGCCTCTCCCAATTTGAAGAGACCCTTGTTCAGCAGGCTGAGGCAAAGAAGAAGTCACTAAAGCAGCAAAATCAGGGAGCTGGACAGGGGACAGATTATATTTGTCTTCAGTGTGGAAGGGATTGTCACTCTTGAATTGGCCTCCTCAGCCACACCAGATGCTGTTCCAAGTCCTCCATACAGAGCACATTACCATAGTCTTTCGAGACTGAAGGATGCCTAATTAACTAACAATTTTGATGTTCAAAGACCAAATCTTGTGCCACTTTAACTCCGCCCGTGTGCAAAGTAAAGTAGACAAAACCAAACACCATTGCCTGGAGATAGTTTTTTTTTTTTAAATAGAAAGCCAGCATTCTTTGTTGCTGTTGGAACCAATTTAAGTAGGAAAAATATCCATATCATCAGTGCATAATCAGGTACATAGAAGGGAACAAATGCTTCATTTAGATGAGCCCATAGATGTGGCCAGGTAGATTGCTATAAAAATGAGCAGCTAATAGTTTTAAAAGGGGAAACGTGAAAAGTTAAGAACACAAATCAAATTCTCATGATTACTTTTGATACATTAGCAGTACTATAATACTTTTTTTTTTTGCTAGGGTTGACTTGGAATCAGATGGGGGTGGGTTCTGCTAGATGATGCTGGACTGCAGTTCTTATCAGTTCTAAACAGAATAGCCAATGATGAAGAAACAGGAGTTGCCGTAGAAACTGGACATACCTTCACCCTTTCTGGAAATGATGCATATTTTAAATAGTCTTTATCTGATAGTTTCAATATGGTATTCTGCTTAATTATTGCTTAATATCATTACTTACCATTATCATGTTCCTGCTTTTAGCTGCTTCTGATTTTCAGTCATGCTGTGAGCTACCTTAGATCCCAGGGTTGGGAGAAAAATGGGATATGAATAATTGCAGTTGCCTGTTTCTTGGGAGGAAAGCAATGACAAACCTTGACAGCATCTTAAAAAGCAGAGACATCACCTTGCCAACAAAAGTCTGAATAATCAAAGCTATGGTTTTCCCTGTAGTGATGTACAGAAGTGAGAGCTGGACCATAAAGAAAGCTGACCGCTGAAGAATTGATGCTTTTGAACTGTGGTGCTGGAGGAGGCTCTTGAGAGTCCCCTGGACTGCAAAGAGAACAAACCAATCCATTATAAAGGAAATCAAGCCTGAGTGCTCACTGGAAGGACAGATCCTGAAGCTGAGGCTCCAACTTTGGCCATCTCATGAGAAGAGAAGACACCCTGGAAAAGACCCTGATGTTAGGAAAGTGTGACGGCAAGAGGAGAAGGGGACGACAGAGGATGAGATGGTTGGACAGTGTCATCAAAGCAACCAACATGAATTTGACACAAATCTGGGAGACAGTGGAAGATAGGAGGGCCTGGCATGCTCTGGTCCATGGGGTCACAAAGAGTCGGACACAAGTAAATGACTAAACAACAACAACAACAAATTTCAAATATGTTTTGCTTATGTGGAAATGTATCCTTTGATATGTTGATTTTGAATTGAAATGGTTAAATAATGTATTATTAAACTCAATGACATTTTACTCAAAAGCAGACTCCCCCACAAGATTTAAAAGCCATCATTTTTTGATGGAAAGGAGGAACCAGAGGTGAACAAGGCAACCCTATGCATTTCTTATGAGAAGAGAGGTCCATTAAGTTCAATAGGACTTATGTCACAGCTAACATTCTGAAGAATCAGCAAAACAAAGGTACAGGACTCTTTGCTGCATTGTAACTAGAGACATAGCACAGTTAAAACAAAACTCTTATCCTATACTAATACCAGACTCATCTTCTGACTGTGGATACATAGGTAGCAAAAGTGGCTTTATTTATACACAAGAAGAAGGGATCAAAATGCTCCTGGAAACCCCATGGTTTGCAGAACTTAGAAAAATAATTAGGAGAGGAACCCCAAAATAGCCTAGTGCAGACCAATTATTTTGGTGATAGAGGTACAAATCAAAAACCAATGGATGGGTTACCAATGGGTGTATTTTTGAGAAGGACTTGGTGGGATGGAAGGAATATTGAAAAAGAGCACTTCACACTGCAACATTGCACTGCCTTTGATCAAATGGCCAGGGAAAGAGTAGGGTTTTTTTGGGGGGTGAAAAGTACAGTGGTGCCTCACTTGACAATGTTAATTCGTTCCAGCGAAGTCGCTGTAGAGCGAAAACATCGTCAAACGAAACAAAAAAATCCCATTGAAACGCATTGAAAACCTGTTCAGTGCGTTCCAATGGGCTGAAAACTCACTGTCTAGCGAAGATCCTCCATAGGGGCGGCCATTTTTAGTGCCTGTAAAGTGAGGAACCTGTCCTAGAAAACAGCGGGGGACCATTTTGTACACCCGGTGGCCATTTTGAAACCCGACGAGTAGCTGTTTTTAGATCGTCGTAATGCGAAAATCGGTTCCCGAGGCAGGGAACCGATCAGCGTGAAATGGATTTTTCCCATTTAAACCATTGTTTTCCGATCACTTTTGTGATAGCAAAAAACTAATCATCAAGTGATGTCCTCATTAAGCGAGGCAATCATTAAGCGAGGCACCACTGTATTCAGTCTTTTGGGCACTACAATCATGGTTTATTGGCATAAACTCAGGAACAAATCCTGAGAATTTATTTCTCTCTCCTGATTTGATGAGATGCTGTATGCATACATAGAGTTATTATCCAAACAGGGTTCTTTGAAGCACCATGTCACAGTTTAGTATGAGATGGGCACAACTGAAGCTGTGCTTTTTTGTAGGAAGATATCTGGACAGCACCACAGCTGCCACGTGTTCCCTCCTCCTGGACAGCTGCCCCGCTCACAAGCCTCCATGTGCCACCCAGGTTGTTCTCTGTCACCGTCTGTCCAGTCCAGGAAGGAGCTCATGCTTCCCTTCCCTGCTTCCTCCAGCAGCCAACCACTCCACAGCTGGGCAGGAAAAAAAACTTCATCCTTCTTCCTCATCTGAGTAGTAATTGACTGAGGTGGGGAAGGTAAGCCTGAGCACCTTCCCAGACTGGGCAGCTAGTGACAAAGGACAACCCAGGCAGTACGTGGACACTTGTGAGTGAAGCAGCTGTCCGGGAGGTGGAGGGAGGGAACATGTGGCAGCTGTGGTGCCACATGGAAATCTTTGAATCTCTAGACCTATCTAAGGATTTAGGAACCGGTGGACTTTCAGATTTTTTGAACTCAAGTTCCTATCAGCCCTTGCCAGACCAGTCGGTAGTGAGAGATGATGGAAGCACAAATTATTCAACATCCAGAGGGCCACAGATTCTGCACTCTCTTGGGCTCTCTTCCTGATGCACTTTAACCCTGGGCCTTCCCACCCACTGGCTTTTAAATACCAGGGCAGTTTCCCTTTGACGGACCCAACTCTTCTCACTTGGCACACTATTAAATAATACATTAAATATAACATCACTTTATAACCTCAG